AGCCACTCAGAATACTATTTTAGGATTGAGGGAAAAGGAAACGAAAGAAATGTTTTGTGTTTGTTTTTAAAGAAACATACTATATCTATTTATACAGCCCATCTCCAGAAATGAAATCAATAATATCATCCTGTTAAACCCTCCATACATGTGGTTCTTTTTCTTCTAGGCTGAAATCTACAGAAGCAGATCGCCCGGTCTTTCTGCCTTTGGATGAGTTTCAAGCACTGATGTTGAAGTTCACACTTGCACACCCTTAATGACCAAGGGAGATGCTTCACTTGCTTCCCTAATCTGAGTCAAAGAAGCCGTGGTCCGAGTGTAATGAGTTCCGCCTTGGGCTGCTAACCACAAACTCAGCAGTTCAAGCCCCACAGGCAGGCATTCCACCCGAGGAAGGTGAAGGCATTCTGCTCTCATCCAGACTTACAGCCTCGGACACCCAGATCTGTCCTGTCATTGTCAGCTGAAGTCGATCGGATAGCAATTGTGGTTGTTTTTTCGCCTCCTTCCCAGAGGAACGTTGGCCAGAAACTTTATTCCCAAAGGGCTGCTAGTCTTCCAACAAGCTAGAAAGACACTTCCTGCGGGTTTCAAGTCAGGGACTACTCTAGAAGGTCAGACACGTTTAGAGTTTAGACGAAAAAGGAAAGAATCTGGAAGCGGAAACAGACAAAATAATCTCACTGACCTCAGAAGCCATGACTCAGACCTAGTGTGTTTTTTAAATTGATTCCCTTGAGACAGAAATGGTTCCCTTCGAGGCCCAGCCTGCAGTGAGTTGAGGGGAAGTTTCTTTGAAGTACACCCAAAGATGCCGTGCCAGGCAATGTTTATCTGATTTCTGTTTCCAGGGTCAGATGGTCCTGATTATTGTTCTGAAGAAGGAATGACTAGTCTCTACACAAGTATTTCCAATACTCCTATGTATTCCCTCTTTCTTTAAGAAGGAAGGCAGTTTTTAACCCGAACAGTTGCTTGCTTTGCAATGATTTTCTTAAAGAACTCCCAGTGTCTTCACACAAGTAAGCCGCTCTCCTTGTAAAGTGTGTGTGTGTGTGTGGGGAGGGGTGGGGGGGCGGGGAGGGGGGAGATTGCACTGATACCACCAAGGTGGACAGCTGCTGGGGTGAACTTGCTAACATGCTAAAATGATGGAACTGAGTAGCACAGAGGCATGTTCTCAAAGAGCACAGAAAGTGCAAAGGAGCCACATGCCATGTCCTCGTAGGAAGAGCCCTGGTGGCACAGTCCTTTATGCATGGGACTGCTAATCTCAAAGTTGGCCGTTTGAACCCACCAGCTGCTTGGCAGGAGACAGAAGACTTTCTACTTCTGTAGAAATCTTGGAAACCCCCGAGGGGCAGTTCTAGCCTGCTCTATTGGGTCACTATGAATTGACTTGATAGTTTGGCTCTGGTTTCTGAAATTGGGTGGAAGATCACTGGTACACTGTGGGTTAGTTCTTGAGCTGCTAATCATTAGGGCCCGTGATTCAAACGTACCAGCTGCCCCAAGTGAGGAAAAAGGAGTCTCTCTTCTCCTATAAAGGTCTACAGTCTTAGAAACATTGTGTCTGGCTCTATCAATCAGAATTAACTCGATGGCAGTGGGCTTTGGTTTTCATGGTACTGGAGGAAGCCCTGGTGGCTTAATGATTACGAGTTGGGCTGCAATTTGCAAGGTCATCAGTTCAAAACCTTGGGAGAAAGACAGGACTTTCTACTCCTGTAAAGAGTTGGTCTATCCTGCTAGACTGGTGTACAGGCACTGGCACAGATGAGTTTTCAATATACGGAATTCAGGAAAGAACCCCCCCCCTTAGAAACAGTAATGGGAACAATGATTCTAGGAGGATCGGGGAAGGGAAGGGGGATTGGATATCAATGATATAACACCCCCCTCGGGAAGAATACCAGGATAGTAGGTGAAGGGATAGAAAGGGTGGCAGTGAACGATATGTATAAATAGTAACAGTACATATATATTAAGGGTTTGCAGGGTGATGGGGGGGGGGGAAGAGCTGATATCAAAGGGCTTTTTATTGTTTAGAAATTGTTGATGCCAATAACTGTACATCTGCTTAAGCTAACAGGTATATGGTTTATTTGCTTTCATTTTTTAATCATTTTATTAGGGCTCATACAACTCTTATCACAATCCACACATACATCAATTGTGTAAAGCACACTTATACATTCGTTGTCCTCATCATTCTCAAAACTCTCACTTTCCACTTGGGCTCCTGGAATCAGCTCATTTCCCACCGCCCCTTGTATGGTTTATAATATGGTTATAATACATGTAAGAGCCCCCAATAAAATGATTTAAGTAAAAAAAGTGATTTAATTATGTAAGTGTATGATATATAAATACTGTATCAAGAAAACTACTGAAAAAAAGGAATGTTGATATAGTGTGAAAAGTGTAGCCAATGTCATTGAACAGTATGTATAAAAATTGTTTAATGGGAAGCTAATTTGCTATGTAAACTCTTACCAAAACACAGTAAAATATATATATATATATTTAAAAAAAAGTGTAGGAAACCCACAGGGGCAGTTCTGCCCTGTCCTACAGGGACGCCATGAGTTCCAATCAACTCAATGGCAGTGGATGAGTTTGAGTAGGTTAGGCCGTCTAACTGAACAATGTCTGGAGGGAACTCACCATTGGCTCTGCAATGTGGGATGATGTGGCGGTCTGCCTCCAGAAAGATCAACAGCCTTAGAAACCTACGGGAGCAGTTCCATTGTCCTGCAGGGGCATTCTGAGTGGGAATCATCTCAGCAGTGGGTTTAGTGTGGTTTTAGAGTAGGACCTAAAACCTTGGTCAGACCTTAAACTTTTTATAATTATAAACAAGGTATTCTCGTCAGAAGCATTTGAATGTTCGATTCTTGGATTTTTTAAAATTTCCATGGAGGTCTTTATTTACCATGGGCAAGATTTCTCCTTGGTCAACCTAGATTGACTTTACAGTTTTATAAACCAGCTTAGAGAAACATCAAATGGTTTTATAGGGTTTTAGCAATGAAAGCAGAATCAATGGCAACGTTTCTAGTCACGTAGTTTGTGCGCAGCCCTGACCCAGATAGTGGGTGACCTCCTGCAGGGGGCGGCAACATCGTTAATCTCACCACTGGTGGCAGTAGCAGGAGCAGCTTCCTGGAACTCATCAAAGGAAAGAAAAGATGAGGCAAGACTTGGGAGCCAGTGGAGGGAGGGTGGGGTAGAAAGGGGGAACTGATTACAGGGATCTACATAAAACCTCCTCCCTGGGGGACGGACAACAGAAAAGTAGGTGAAGGGAGATGTCGGACAGAGCAAGATATGACAAAATAATAATTTATAAATTATCAAGGGATCATGAGGAAGGGGGCAGTGGGGAGGAAGGGGTAAAAAAATGAGCTGATGCCAGGGGCTTAAGCGGAGAGCAAATGTCTTAAGAATGATGAGGGCAACGGATGTACACAATTGATGTATGTATGGATTATGATAAGAGTTGTATGAGCCCCCAATAAAATGATAAAAAAAAAAAAGATGGGAGCAGGATACAGTGATAGGATGAGACTGCCTTTATGATGAGAATGTTTGTGATGTTAAAGTTGTGGTCTGTTTCTTGGAATGTTTTCAGCAGAATTTTCTGCTTGTTATTTTAATCGTTAACTTCTAGTCCCTGGAGAAGGACATCATGCTTGGTAGAGGGACAGTGAAAAAGAGGAAGTGGCTGCATCGATGGGCTCAAATGTAAGAGTTGCTGTGAAGATGGTGCAGGACCAGGCAGTGTTTCGTTCTGTGGTGCACAGGGTCGTTATGGGTCCAGACCAACTCGCATGGCACCTAACAACACAGTTTTACAGTCATCTTCCCTGATCCCGAGACTTATGAGGCATTTCTTCCCCTTCCTCGTCTTCTTTCTGGAAGGGAATCAAAGATCATAGCAGATGAAGAAAGAACCCCGAACACCGGACAGGCCCTGCTAGCCATCAATGAATGTGCGAGCCACAGGTTCACCAAGACGGTACAAGCCGTCACAGCACACTGAGTGCCAATGATTACACGCCACGCAAGACATACAGGTACTTTATTGGGGAAACTTTTGAAATGAGCAACAATCAGAGCGGAATCTTCTTTAACTTGATCTTTTCTTCTATATTGGAAAAATACTTCAGTTTTGTTAGCATTTCCTTGGCTTTTTCAAAGTCATCTGAAATAAAGACAATGAAGTCAGACCTCCCTGCCTGCAAGAATCACTCCACCAATTCTATTGCTCAAGGCAGCCAGGTCAGGACTGAGCTCTGGGTCCCAGGAGGCCCACTGGTGAATGTGAGCCTTGGAGAGGCAGGCCACCTGGGCTGTTGAGGGGACAAGGGATTTGCCCAGGGGGGGCAAGAACAGCCATTTGACAGAATTCAGAGTTCAAATAAGTCAGAATCTCTTCTGAGTAAGAACTGGGTAGTGTTTTTAAGTCTTTCATCTCATCCATGGTGGTTGTTACCCCCATGAGGCTGTGGAGGAAGGGAGGGTTCACCTGTGTAAGGGGTTCAGGTACGGGCAGTGCTCAGGGGGCTTACAAGCCTCCCGGAAAGATGCCTTCAGACTGGTTGTGTGTGTGTATGTTAGTTGCTTATCCTCCAGGGGACACCTGGAAATGTCTGGAGACTCTTGGTTGTCACAACTTGAGAGAGGATGGGGTGGTACTGGCACCTAATGGGGAGAGGCCAAAGGCCCTGCTAAGCTTATGTCATTGCACAGGACAGCACCTCCTTCCCGTGACAAAGAAGTCTCTGGTCCCAAGGGTCAACAGAGATGAAGTGGGGCCGCTGAGCTTTTAGCCTGTTAAAAACAGCACACTGTCATGTGGGCCACCATGAAGACACGTGGCAGTGCCCCGCATGAAGGCAATGGCTCCAAGCAGACACTGACCATAAAAAACAAGTCCCAGTGAAACAGAAGGCACGATTCTATTTCGTTTAAAAACAAACACCCCACACAACACCTCACTAAATGAAAGCCTGCCAGTGCACAGGGGTGCCCCGGTGGCACCGCGATCGGTTATTAACTCAACAGTCACTTCACAGGAGAAAGGGTGGCAATTGGCTTCTGTGAGGATTTCGGCACTTGGAGACTCTGTGTCAGTCTTACTCTGTCCTTCAGGGTCACTCTGACTTGAGTGGACTTGAGCAGTGGGTTTGGTTTGGATAATCATAGGTCACCACTGTATCACCAGGGATCTTTCTAATTAAGCAGATATGAATACACACTCCCAATGGTGAGCTAAGGCTTAGAGGTGGACCCAACACCTTCTGACCTGGTAAGCCAGTGGACTGGGGACATAGCATCAGATTCTCCTACCAGGAATCTATAGAGTTGGGTCTAGAGACTCTAGTCAGCTGGGGAAAGACTTTGTTCTTAAAAATGGTCATAGACTAAAGAGGACCCAGGAGTCATACTGTGGAGGGAATCATTTTGTAGCAAGTGCATGGGACTGGTTCCCAGGGAGGAGGATGCAGTGGACTTCAAGAAGGCTCAACCTAACCCTGCAGCTGTCTTGGTTCCAGACTGCCAACTGGCTCCCCGGCTTTACCCCAGAAAAGCTGTCAGCATCCCAGGTATGCTCTCCTTCCATTCAGGGAGGTAGCCCTGAGTCTTAGAATAAGATCTCTTTATCTGGACTGTGGGGAGAAGTCAGACACTTGCTGCTAGACTGCTGTCTCATCCCACAGCAGGGCTGGGCCTGCTCCCTGCTGCTGGGGACAATGGCCTACTTCTCTCTGAAGCTTTGGGACCATTAGCTTGGTTCCTCTAGGTGGGGTTTACACCCTACTGATAATGTTCCTATGGAGACCCAGAGACCACCCTCTCATTGCTGTGTAACCTATAGTGCAGCCCCTTCCTGTGACGTATGTCTTTACCTGTAATTAGTGGGCTGGCTTGCCCCCAGAAGGTATATAGGTGTGAACCAGCACTATAGATCTCTCTCTGACTCTCTGACTCTCTGACTCTGACTCTGAGCTCCTTGCTGCTCACTCCCTGGTCACTCCCCTCTCCCTTGTTCCCTTTCCCTCCTTCCCTTCCCCCTCTCCACGTGGACCACCAAGCTGGGCTGAGGTGAGCAATGTTGCTATGTATCATGCCTGACTGTATTATTGTATTATCTCTCATGCTCTCGATGACTTTAATATAATGCTTATATATCTCAACCGTACAATTGTGCATTACTGAACCCAGAGGTAGTATTACTGAACCAGTGAGTTCTAGCAGCGGGTGGGGGCTGGTCCCCTCACCCTCCGTCCGCGCATTTTTATTTAATACTACACTGGACCAACTGGTGTGGCTTGTTGTTTCCTGCATTCAAATCAGAGCCAAAGGGTCAATATTCCTCCTCTCCACCTTGTGAAGGGGTGGCACAAATCAGGGACGGAGAGAGAAGATGTTCTTGCCTGGAAATAGATCCAGCCTCTTCAGCCTGAAAGCCAGGGGCATGGGGACCAGGATGAATGTGTCAAACTTGTTTTCTGACAACTGCCTCCCTTCTGTCAGCCTGCTATACTGTGGTGACTCATGTGTTGCTTATGATGCTAAAAGCTGGGACTTCAAATGCTGGCAGAGTCACCAAGGTGGGCAGGTTTCAGGGGGAGCTTATAGATTAAGAAAGACTAGGAAGGCCTGCTGATCTACATCCAAAAATTAGCCAAAGGGTCACAAATAGAATATTATCTGATACAGTGCTGCAAGATAAGCCCCCTAGATTGGAAGACAATCAGAACACTCAGTGGTTAGCACATGGATCAGGGACTGTGAAGATGGCACAAGACTTGGGAAGGCTCCAGGGATTGTCATGCATCAAGAGCAGCTCAATGGCAACCACCATATAACAATTCAGGCTCAGCTCTGCCTTGGGCATCAGGCCTGAGGAGCTTTGCAGAAGCAAAGGGTGTGCAGGTTTTGCTAAAAGCTGACTCTTGGGGCTTGCCCTCACCTTATCTCCTACTTGCCAAAGGGTCAGGGAGTACGATCTCTACAGAATGCATAATTGCCTTCTCTTGGCTTTTGCCACAAAAGCTGGTTTTTCCAGCAAGACTCTGAATCCTTGAAGGCAGAAGTGCGTACTCAAGTGTACTTTACACCCTCCACAGGGTGGGCACAGAAGGCTACTCAAAGCTTACAGCTTTGAATCCCTGAGAAAGTCAAGAAGCAAAGAAAGTACCTTGTTCAAACGCTCTGCTCGCAGTGCTGATGCATTCTTTCTGTTTGACTAAAAGAAAAAGCCATCAGTTGTTCTATTTAAACAGACTCATGAGATGAACACATCACTTGAAATCATGCTCGGAGGAACAGAGCTCTGGTGGCGTAGTGGGTTGCATATGTTGGGCTGTGAACCTCCAGCTCAGCGGTTTAAACCTGTTGGTTGCTTGTGGGGCAGAGATGAGGTTTTTCTGCTCCCAGAATGGTTTCCAGGCTCAGAACCCAACAGGTCCATTCTACGAGGGTTTTCTATAGGGCCACTATGAGGACGGCCTTCATGACAGTGAGTGAACGGGTGAGGGCTAAGCAGGAAGCCTGGATGCCGAGAAGGCTCCATAACCTGTGTGCCCTGCTGGCACCTCCTGTGGAGTGCACACAGCCTGGCCCTACTTACACCATCTTGTTTTAGCCTATGAAAGGTCTCCAGGAGCCCTGGTAGATTACACATTGGGTTGCTAACCGGAAGATCAGAAATTGGAACCCATTAGCCACTCTTAGGGAGACATGAGGCTTTTTACTCCCATAGAGTTACTGTCTCAGAAACCCTCAGGGGCAGTTCTGTTCTGTTCTCTCAGCCCACACTAAGTCGGAATGGGCTTGATGAAATGCCCGATTGTCCCCACACAGCAGTCTAGCTCATTGGGAGTTCAGGCAGGAGGAAATGAGCATACCTGGATCGTTTGGCAAATACCCAGTACCTCCCCTGCCCCCTGGAAACATGAGGCATGTACATTCCACTGCGTTATATCGTGGCTTAAAAGAGTGTTCCTGTTGTTTCCACAGGCAAGCCAAGATGTACACACTGAGCACGTTTGTCACATATGAAGCATATCCATCCATCTACATATACTGCCTCCTTTTAAAGTGCTATCAAGTATATTCTTCTTTTTTTTTTATTCTATCCCAAGTAAGGAACCTGGGTGGTGCAGTGGTTTGTGCTCAGATGTCAACTGAAAGGTTGGTGGTTTGAGCCTTGTAGCCGTCCAGGGGAGAAAAGACAAGGCAGTCGGCTTCCATGAAGCTCTGCGGCATTGGGAATTCTGTGCAGCAGTTCTATTCTGCCCCATGGGGCCGCTATGAGTCAGAATTGATTTGACAGCAGGGGTTAAAAAACTCTTTTTCCTCCAGTCTCCTAAGGTAGACAGATTGGTGCTGAGGGTTTTTCTCAAACCCTCAGGTTTGATGAGTGGAGATGTGGTGAACAGACTCCCCAGCCATCTGATCCCTACGTCCAGCATTTGGAAATATGTCACTCATGTGGCAGTGTGCTATGGCCTACAGGGCACTGGCTTATAGTGGTGAAAACTTCAGGGTTCTGCCCCAGTGTTAGCTTTGCACCCTCCAAACCACCGACTTGGGTGAGTGAGCACCTGGTTGGGGTGGGGAGGGAGGGGAGTTTAGTGACAAACCCAAGGGAAGGCCAGTGACTTCACAGGCGTTCAACAGAGCAGCAGTGGTTCTCAACCTGGGGCTTGAACAACCCTTTCACAGGGGTCAACCAATTCATAACAGTAGCAAAATTAGTTATAAAGTAACAATGAAAATAATTTTATGGTTGGAGGGTGATCACAATATGAGGAACTGTATGAAACGGTCGCAGCATTAGAAAGGCTGAGAACCACTGAGCTAGAGCATTTATTTAACCTTTCTTTTCTGGGGGTGGGGGGTAGGGAGAGAGAATCATTCATTGCTCTCCCAATAAAAATAATATGTACTATATAGCTCATAATCCAAAAGAAGTGTAGGTATCTGTTTTCGCAGCCCTGACACCAGCATCCCCAAGAAATGGTATGTCTTACTTTGGGAAAACACTGAGCTAGAGTATTTGTCTCGTTGGTGGTGTAGTGGGTTACATATTGGGATGCTAACTACAAAGTCAGCAGTTCGAGACCACCAGCTGATCCAAGGGAGAAAGCTGACAGCTTTTTACCCCCCGAGAGAGTTTGTCTCTTAAAGGTGTGGGGGGTGGGCTGGGGGAGGGGGTAATACAGGTGGGAAGAAGTTATAGTATGGGAAACCCATGGGTTACTATGAGTCAGATTTGACTTAATGGCAGTAAGTTTTAACTTAATCCTGGCCACAGCCAGTGCTTGAATTGTCCTTCTCTCCCCCCCGCAGGCCTAGGAACCAGGCCTAGGAGTTGGGTCTTTAACTTGAGAGCAGGAGGAAACCACTTAATGTTTTTGAAGTGAGTGGAGACATGAGTAGATTCGGGTTTGCAAACCATCACACACGTGCCAGGGTAACAACATGCTAGAGGGACATAGAGGGTAGGTAGACCAGTCAGGGGGGATTGTAGGGCTCCAGGTGAGAGAAGATGATAAGCTTGGAATAGAGTAGGGGCAGTGAAAATAGATGGTTGGATGGATCTGAGAGTTATTTCAAAAACCAGCTGTGTAGGACTTGCAGCTGAAGGGTAAGGGTGAAGGAATGTTTTAGGGGAGTTTCCCAGGGGTTTTGACATGTCCAGCTGGGTGGTGTTACCAGGTTTGAGAGGGAGGAGTGAGGGAGGTACAGGTGGCTTTCCTTTCAGGGCAAGGAGAGGGAAGACTCAGGGCTTTCCCTGTGGACATGATGCTGGTCAGAAAGAAGCACACCAGCCTATGTGATCACTTGAGGTGTCGAAGGTATAAATAAGGTATCATCAGAACAAAAAAATCTTACCAAAGTGAATGATGGGGGGAGTGTATAGTGGAGACCCAAAGCCCATTTGTAGGCCACTGGACATCCCCTTGCAGAGGGGTCTCGGGGAGGAGGTGAGCCAGTCAGGGTGCGATGTAGCAACGGTGAAAAATACAACTTTCCTCTAGTTCCCAAATGTTTCCTCCCCTCTCCCACTATCATGATCCGAATTCTACCTTGCAAGTCTGGCTAGACCAAAGGATGTACACCGGTACAGATAGGAACTGGAAATACAGGGAATCCAGGGCGGATGAGCCCTACAGGACCAGTGGTGTGAGTGGCGATACTGGTAGGGTAGAGGGAGAGTGGGTTGGAAAGAGGGAACCGATTACAAGGAACTATATGTGACCTCCTCCCTGGAGGACGGACAACAGAAAAGTGGGTGAAGGGAGACGTCGGACAGGGCAAGATATGACAAAATAATAATTTATAAATTATCAAGGGCTCATGAGGGAGGGGGGAGCGGGGAGGGAGGGGAAAAATGAGGACCTAATGCCGGGGGTTTAAGTGGAGAGGAAATGTTTTGAGAATGATGAGGGCAATGAATGTACAAATGTGCTTTACACAATTGGTGTATGTATGGATTGTGATAAGAGTTGTGTGGGCCCCTAATAAAAACGATTAAAAAAAGAATACACATCTTCCAGGAAGGCACAGGCTAGGCCTTTCCTGTGCAGACTGCATGTCTCTGTCACGCACAATGCTTGGTACCTACAGTGTAACCAGGTGTCCAAGCCCTGTGCACACAGTCTGAATGAGAACCCTGGAGCCTTTTCTACGGAACAGAGTAGCAAATGAAGTGATGTAAGGTGCCAAGGTCCCAATTGTGGCTCTTCTACAAATCTGCTGTATGACCTTGGGGGATTTGCATGAAATATTGAGACCCATTTTCCTCGTCAGAAAGAGTTGCATTATCAATATGTACACCCTGGGGGGTGAGAAGGAAAACTGCAGTCTAAAAACACTGTGGTTGTTGGCTGTAGGAGAAATGATTTAGACCCTTCTAGCCAGTGCCCCCACCTCCCATGACAGGACAGGGCTGCCCCTGAGGGTTTTCTAGACGAACCTGTAGGGACCAGATTGCCAGGCCTTTTTTGGTGTGCAGCCACTGGGTGGGTTCCAACTGCCAACCTTTTAGTTAAAAAGCTCACTGTCATCCAGTTGATGCTGACTCATAATGACCCTATAGGACAGGGTAAAACTGCCCCAGTGGGTTTCTGAGACTGTAACCCTCTAAGGAGGTGGGGAAACGCCATCTTTCTCCTGAACCTTTTACTGTAGTTACATTCTGGATCTAAGGCTCCCTTCCGGAGTAAGTTTAAGCTGAAGACAGTGTTGGTGTCCATCACTTAAAAGGACCCTTCTAGCCAGAATCCCTTTTGTAATGTATCCTTTAAGCCTTTATGCCAGTGGTTAAAACCCTTGGCATTTGAGAGGAAGTTCTCTGGGGAGAACCAAATCACCACCTTTTGTTTCCTTTCAGAGGTAAGACAAAAACCACACCTCCACATGTGAATGAGCCATCTCAGAAGTGGGAGGGACAGAGAGAAGCCCCAGGACCACCTAGGAAGGAGAGCCAGCTGAAGAGCATCTTGGAGATCTCGTCTGAAGTGGTCCTGCTGTGGCACAAAGACCCGGACTGAGCCAAGAAGCTGGGCTTCTGAGACCAGAGGCCGAGACAAGGAGACTGATGCATAGCAGCCAGGCTTCCTGGCCCGTGGAGGGAGAGGCCCAAGGACATGGCTGAGAGGCTGAGGACCAGAGAGAGAGACTGGACTGCTGGCTGAGGAGAGGTGGTATTGTGGACTGATGACTGCATCCTTACTGTTGTCTGGTCCTCACTGTGGTAACTTGCTAACTTCCCTAATAAAGCCCTCTTAATTGTGAACACTGTCTGAATTTGGTGTGGCCATTGCAGCACATCACGGAACTCAGCAGAGAAGTAATGTGTCCTGGGAGGAATGGTCGGGGTCAGATAGGATAAAAGAGTGGAGGGTGGAGGCAAGCCTTATGGGTTTGTGTGGAGGTGTAGTCTCCCTCCCTTGTACAGCCAAACCAAAACCAAACTCACTGCCATTGAGTCAATAAGGACTCATGGTGACCCTGTAGGACAAGATAGAACTGCCCCTCTGAGATTCCAAAGACTAACTGTTTGCGGGGGTAGAAAGAACTGTCTTTCTCCAAAGGAGTGGCTGGTGGTTTCAAACTGCCAACCTTGTGGACCACAGCCCAGCATAAAACCACTATGCCACTAGGGCTCCCAGTATAGCCAAAGGAGTTCAGATATGGATTCCGCAGTGTTTCCATGTCAATTAAAAAAAATTTTTTTTTTGCAATCATCATGCTGATCAAGAATTTCCTCTCTCTACTCATGGTTGACTTAACCCTAGCTGTAGTCACAACAACAGGGTTTCATCTTTCACCTGAGACAACGGATTCAATGTCATTCACAGCAGCTTCATTCTGTGCTTCTGCCAGCTTTTCATTGATTTCCATGATTTCCACGAGGAATTGCTTTTCCAATTCACCATCTGTCCCTTCAGGAATCACTATTCCACGGAGCTTTAGCTATGGAGGTAGAAAGCAGATAGAGTAAGTTTGGTTCTAGAAACTGTGGCCAGAGTCCTGTATATCCCATTTTCCCCTTCAGAACATAGGAGCAGCCCTGGGGTACACGAAGGCAGTCCTACTAAGGAAAACATGAGGTTGGGTGGCTGGAGTGCCTGGGCTGAGGCAGACAGAGGGAGGGGCAGGACCCCTCTCTGGACCATTCGGAGCTATGTGACCTTGGGGAGTTCCTCTTCCGCTCAGGAAAGAGAAACCTCACCATGTCCCTAAGGACTCTGGAGTTTCCTAGAGTTGATAGCTTCTCCCAAAACAAACCAAAAATTATCTATCCCTAAAAGCCATCATTAAACCCTTGAAATTTATAGGAAATAAAAGTAATGGAGACAGGTAAAAGTTGTACAGACAACTCTGGTAAAACGATACTGGTGTAGTGTCTTAGGGGCTAAATATTGGGAGTATCTCAGGTCTGAAGCACTTCTCAAGCCCTCTTCCACCTGAGTACAGGGGAACAGCTGTCCCACAATGCCATGGGCCCCGGGCCGTCATGTGTAAGAGTTGGGAAATCACCTTACAAGGTATAGTCCTCTGCTTAGGGGTGCCAGAAGGGTCTTATAGGCCTCATTCACCAGGGTTGCATGCTTCTCGGAGAACTCCTTTTCAGTCTGTTAGTGGGAGACGAAGACAGTTTTATTATCACCCAAATTAACCACTGACATTCACAGACTGTTCCAGAAATGCTGATGGCCTATTCCGCTATAGAGAGACATGAAGGCCCAATCCATGCCTTCAACATGGGTGGACCCTGAAGATAAGCAGTTCAGTGAATAAGTTATAAGGACAAATGCTGTATGTAGTCAGCAAATGTACAGAAACATAAGCTTATTAGTGGCTACCAGGGGTAGAGGGGAGGTGTGGGGGTGTGGGGGAGGAGAAAAGGAGGTCCCTGAGGCGATATGGTCGTGGTTGTGAAATAATTTGGAAAAGGGTAAGTACCATTACACAATATTAAGAATGTCATCAATGTCATAGAATTGGATATGTTTGAAATTGTGGAAGCAGCAACTGTATACTTTTATTATAAGAATGATGAGAAGGCTGGTGGGTGGGAGAGCTCAGTAAACGATCCGAGTTGAACTGATCTTGGGTGAGCTCTCTTAATGGCCCAGGGCTTAGCCTGTAGCCTGCTGGGCAGTCAGATACAAGCTGTGGGCACATGGCAGCTCCCTGGCCTGGCTGCCTGGGGCTAGGCTGACACAGGGCAGAGCTGGCTGTCCAGACTGTCCCCGGTAATCACATCACCTCAAGGCCGTTGCCACTCACCCAGGGTACACATGTGTTTGAGGAGATTAGGCTGACTGGTGGGCTACCTGAGACCTCTGACTGAAGAAATCGGGGTGGACCAGACGCTGCAGTTGCTGGTACCTCTGCTGGAGCTTCATGGTATCAACTTTGAAGGAGCGGGTGCTGGAAGAGAAGGAGTGGACGAAATCCACGCAGCATACCATGAAAGCTTTGTCCACTGTGGCCGGATTCCCCCTCTCAAAGGGGAAGTCACAATAAGCATTTTCAAATGGCGGACTGTGCTACGAACCGACACAGAGAGCTCTGGCTCAGAGAGTGGTGCACAGAGATGAGTGAAGAAATGTCATGTGGGGTGAGACCTGGATTTGGGGAGGAGCAGTCAAAGACCGGGGAGCCCCCGTGGTGCTGTTGAGTAAGCTCTGGATTGCTAACCACAAGGTTGGGGGTTCAAACCCACCAGCTGTTCTGTGGGAGAAAGATGAGGCTATCCCTTTCCAGAAAGAGTACAGCCTCAGGAACGATCTATGGGTCAACAACCCTGTCCCGTAACTTTCCCTCAGGAGGCTTCACAGGGTCTCCATGAGTCAGCATTGACACAGTGGCTGCAACAGCAGGAGTAAACAGCAATTGTGAGGAGGGTGCAGGACAGAGCAATGCTTCCTTCTGTTATACATAGGAGCACTATGCGTTGGAGCCGATTCGAGGACACCCAAAACCAGTCAAAGATGGGAGGAAGCAGTCATCCAAGCAAGAGGAACTGGCCCCCAAGTGGGAACAGGATTGGCATGCTGAGGACATTAAAGGGTAGTATCCCTGCAGCCCATAAAAGCCCTGGTGGGGTAGTGGCTATGTGTTGGGCTGCTACCCTCAAGGTAAGCAGTTCAAAACCACCAGCTGTTGGTTGGAAGACAAGGTTTTCTACTCCTATAAAGAGTTAGTTTCAGAAACTCACAGGGGTTGTTCTACCCTGTGCACATAGGGCCACTCTGAGTTGGAATTGACTCGATTGCAGAGAGTTTACTTTGGGTTTGGCCACTGTGGCGCATAATAAACGTTCAATGAACTGTAGGGGCAGAGCCTAGAGTTGAGGGAAGAAGCAGTGCAGAATTCTACCCCAACTTTCTTCCAGTCTTCAATCCTTTTATCTCTCAGTTCCTAAAGCCAGCCTTATTACCTCACCAGTCCTTACTCACTCGTAATTTACCACCTCTCCAAGATCAACTTCAGAGGAAAATGTGAAAAATCCCATTTCTGGAACCCTCTACTTCTGGTTTCCACTTTTCCTCTAGACGCTGTCCACACATTTAGTTTTCTTCTGCCTTTACTTCCTAAGGAGCCTTGGTGCAGTGGTTAAACACTTGGCTGCTAATCTAAAAGTCAGGATTTCAAATCTACCAGCTGGTCCATATGGCTGTCTGCTTCTGTATAGACTACAGTCTTGGGAACCCTAAGGCCAATTCTACTTTGGCTGACATAGGGTCATTATGTGGCCAAATTCAGTGTAGAGGAAGGTGTTTTATTTTTAAAAAAATCATTTAATTGGTGGCTGCTCATACAACTCTTATCACAATCCATCCATCCATCGTGTCAAGCACATTTGTACATTTGTTGCCATCATCATTCTCAAAATCAAAAGTTTTTTTTAATATTAAAAGATAAATATATTTATTCCCTTATTTTGGTATGCTCAATACTCCTTTCTTGAGACTTTCAATCTGACTTTAACCTTTCTGACTTTGTTCCAGGTCTCCCTTGCCATAGAAACCTCTTCCGTTTCTGCTTCTCAAATGATGAAAATTGAAAAGACACATGGAAACAGTAAGTATAGGCAAGCATTAGTCTCCCCCCCCAACCCTGAGACCAGAAGGACTAGGTGGTGCCCAGCTACCAGTACTAAGTGCTACGAAAGAGATCACATTAGCAGGTCTTAAATACAGTGAGAGAAAGATGCAGACGAGAACTCTTAAAAAGTCATAAAGGAGACCAGATTGACTGGTTACCCTTACGACTAGGGTCCTTAGTCACCCTTCAGGTCTGGAACTGAACTCACCCTCATGTTAGAATAGGCAGCCATGCAAGAGCAAAAGGGAGTCCCTCACAAGGTTCAGAGGGTTAGGGAGGAAGGATGAAGCAAGCAGTGCAGAAGTGGGACACGTGATGGTACACTGGAGGGGTTTGCAATGGAGGCGTTGAATCAGAATGTGTATCAATTGTTGAATGTCAACTATGATCTGCTCTGTACATCCTCACCTAAATCACAATGAAAAGGTTAACAAAAATACTGCTTCAAGTGCCCCACGAGGGCAGTCGGTCCTTCATCACTCAACAGCGCTTCCCTCAGAGCCCGCCCCTCAATCTTCTCTCCCTGGGGGCATTTCCAACTTCCTTTCCCTAGGCCCGCCCCGACCAGCTTCAGGGTCCCGCCTTCGCCTACAGGCCGGGATCACCTCCTCAGGTCTGCGGTCTTGGCCCAGCCCCCCAAGCTGCCGCCCGTACCAATCCATTAGGCTGAAGTAATCCCGAGTGGGATCGGGTGGCTGTAACACGCGGCAGTGAGGGCAGAAGAACACGTCCCCCCGTCGCGGGCCCCCGGGGCCGGCGCCGCCGCAGTTCCAACACCGCGGGGCGTTACTTCGGGTCTGCGACGCAGTATTGCAGCTCAGAAGTCTCCTCCCGGGGACCCTTGCGGGCCACAATGCCCACACCCGGAGCGAGGCCTGGGCCCTCCCGGCCCACATCTGGCCTCTGGCAGACGTCGCGGGAGACACCGTGGGGAGAAGAATGATGCGCGGATGCTGATTGGGTGGAGGAACTGAGGGGGCGGGATTACGCAGGGGAAAACCTGGAATCTGTGTCCCGCTTTGTGTTCGAAACTACCACTCCCAGCAGGCATGGAGGCACTACTGCCCTCTCCACATCCGCCGCTTCTCATTGGCCCAGCGCGGTGGGAGGTGTGTTTGATTGGCCGAGGGAGGAGTTTGTACTGCAGCTTTAGCGCCACTCGGCTGGCTGTGCTTGTGGTTGTGGGCAGTGAGCGGCTCCTGGAGGGCTCGCAGGTGAGTCTTAATGGGGGACGTGCCTTGGGTGCTTAGGGGTCCGAATCCCACGGTCCACTGCTTATGCAAGCAGAGTATCTGGAGCTTCCGCTTTGTCGATTTTGAGCTCAGCAGAGGGGAAGCGGGTGCGTGGGCGACTCTTCATTGTAGATAGACTTCGAGATGAAGTTTATTTTCACTCCTGATTTACAAGCTGCAAAGGGTTCAAGACCTACCACATGGGAAGTTACAAAATTGTGCTTAAAAAAAAGAACACAACGAAGGGTCTTAAAAACGTACAGATGTTAATGCTAATTGCCATGCTTTAAATTCGATCTCATAAGTATCTGGGAACCCACTCTTAGATCTTCCGGAACCAGGAACTCGCTGACCTTGTGAACGTGCGTGGGGGGAGGTATGTACTCTGAGTGACCTTCGGTAGGTGTGGGGTGCGGACAATGGGCAGCGGGCCCCAGACCTCTTTGTGACTCGTTTCTCCGTTGAAATGTCTATGTGTAGTATACCCAAGACTGTGCAGGGCCTTTTAAAAAGAATACACCAAACCCATGGCTATCAAGTTGATCTGACCCATAGCGATCCAATAGGACAGAGTAGAAATGCCACCTTGTATTTCTGAGATTGTAACTCTATGGGAGCAGAAAGCTTTGTCTTTTTTCCAGAGTTGCTGGTTGTTTTGAACTGCTGACCTTGCAGTTAGCAGCTGTATACCACAAGGGCTTCCTTTCTAATAAGAATAGCTTCCATTTACCAAGCATTGATGGGGGTGAGGGCTAGTGTTCCATTCCTCATTTAGTTTAATCTTCACCAGAGCAATGGGTTATAGAACCCTGGTGGTGTAGTAGTTATGCGTTGGCCTGTGATCCCTTGACCAGTGAACCACATGGTCAGCAATTCAAAACCACCAGCAGCTTGAGGGAGAAATACTGGGCTTTCTACTCCTGTAAATAGTTATGTAAAGTCTTGGACACTCACAGGAGATAACTGAGTCAGCATGGACTTGATGGCAGTGAAAGACACATTGGGTTTCGCCTTGGGGTGCTAACTGCTTTGGTCTGCTGACAGGTCAGCAGTTCAAAACCACCAACCTTCCATTGTACTGAAGGAGAATCACAAAGCAATCTGCTTCCAAGTTTTACAGACTGGGAAACGCAATGGGGCAATTGTACTCAGTCCTGTAGGGTTGCTATGAGTCAGAATCGATCAACTCCATGGTAGTGAGTTTTCTTGGTTTGAATTGGCCTTTTTTTTTCACGAGGCCTGGTGACACACAGGGTCAAGCTTTGGGCTGCTAACCGAAAGGTTGGTGGTTCAACCTCACCAACTGCTCTGTGGGAGAAAGATGAGGCTGTCTGCTTTGTTGAAGATTTAAAGCTTCAGAAACCTGAAGTGGGGGGCAGTGCTACACGGCCCTGTAGGGTCACTATGGGTCAGAATTGACTCCAGGCACTGAGTCTGGGCTATCTGTTTATTTGCTTACCCTCCCCTCCCCCCCAGAGATTCAGAAAGATGGAAATCTGCCCCGTGTCCAGCAAAGATTTGATTCCAAGCTCTATACCTCTGACGGTTCCACCAAGCTCTATACGTCTGACTATTCCTTTCCTTATTGCCCCGGCCAGAGTGGTTGGTCCCTTGTCCTAATTGATGATGGCTATCACTCTTGTGCGGGAGAAAGATGAGATTTCTACTCCCATAAAGCTTTATGGTCTTGGAAACCCACAGAGGCAGTTTTTATCTGCCCTATTGGGTCCCTATGAGTCAGAATTGACTCATAGCATTGAGGTTTCTTTTTTCGGTTTGGTTTTTGAAGACACCTTTTGACTCTCTCTGTCTCTCTCTCCACTTACCTGGGCGGGAACTAGACGCAGGCCAAGAAGTCCTGCTCTGAACACAGCGGGACCCAACCTGGCAGAGGCCACTTCCGACCCACATCTCCTGGAGTGGCGAGCTCAGCTCTGGTATTTCAGGTAAGCTCATCAAGACCTTTGTATCTTGGAAATTATGTAAAGGCAGTAATGTTGTTTACACCCTTCTGAATGCCTGCCATGAACTGGGGAGCAGGAATGGAATGCACTCATTAAAAACAAAATCAGGTTAGGTTTTAGATGGCCACTGAGTTGTGAGGGGAGCCTCTGTTAGGGTGTCTGACTCAAAGGATGCTGGGAAGAGGAGTATGTAGTGACCTTAGTAACACAAAGCACTAAGTGGAGTTGTTTTTATATAGCAGTCTTGTTTGAGATCTCTTTACCTAGCCTGACTCTTGTTTCGTGCCAAGGAATCTAGAATGAACAAGCCCTGACGTGGGTCCTGTCCTCTTGAAGTAAGCTTGAGAGACATCTGATGGGTTTTATGTAATCTGCACTCCCTGCCATAGGCTTGCTGTGAATCAGAATTGACCCAGTGGCAAGTGTGTGCAGTTTTTTGTTTGTTTTATTTTTAAATTTTCTAAACCATTTTATTAGGAGCAAATCTTGATGTCACACCAAGCAGTTTTGTACAATTGCTACTAAAATCAGTTTCAAAACATTTTCTCTTTTCTTGAACTCCTGGATATCAGCTCCCACTGAATTCCCGCCCCCCCACCCCCACCCCATTATATACCCCCAGGAACCATAATTCTAGTAGTTGTCTCTGTAGGGTCACCTGTCGTGGGTTTCACATACCGAGAAACATAGTAAACCCCGTGACAAAGCATCAAGAAGGCTACCAACAATGACAAAAGACAACAGAGATAAACCCCAATTAAAAAAAAAACTCAGAAAATATTAAAAACCAAATCAACCCAAAGGGTATCAGAAGGGAGATCAAGTGACAAGGTTTTACCCATTTGAGTCAGATTTATCATCTTAATCTACTACAGTCGTCTCTCCAATTTCTGTCTATAACCAGGTTATTCCTATCCCTCAATTATGGTGAGAGGGAAGTCCCCGGAGGCTCATCCCCTATGTAGATCCTGCATTGTATTTTGGGCTTCTGCTGTCATCCATGGCTCTGCACACCAGAAGCGCACATTTCAAGCTCTGATACTATTCCCTCCTTCAGATTTAGATTTTATAACTTACAGTCCTAGGATCTCAGATGTTGGTGAGTGTGTGTATTTTTGTATTGCCATCGTACAGCTTCTGCCCGGCCATATGACACACCCCTTCTTTCCTTCTCAAAATATAGATGAAATTTAAGTGCAGTGTTGCTTGTATTATGACACGCATGTTAGGCCTCATTCCTAGTTTTTGAAAAGGGGATGAATGTAAGCTTTTATGAGTCTTTTGCCCCACTCCACCAACTCAAATTGCATTTTATTTATTTGTAGCCTGGAAATCCTCTCCCCTGTTCCTCATGGTTTGTGACTCTCAGATAAGACATAAAACAAACTGATCCATTGAAAAATGATCCTCACCTACAAAGACTTAGTGGTCTAGATTGTTAAGAGTTTGAATTAAGAAAAAGAAAAGAGTTCATTATATATTGTTTATGTCTTGTGGTTGAAAGTATGCGTAGTAGCGCAAACACCAATTCAACAGTTGCTGCCAGTACAATTTAGTGACATTTTAAGCTGTGCAGCCATTCTCGCCATCCTCTTCTCTGGAGTTGTTCCTTCCTCAGGAACAGATACTTTCTTCCCCTAAAGTTCCCATCTAACCTTTCAGGGAGCTGTTGTCAATTGGATCTCACTGAGATCTTAAAAGAGCACAGGGCTCAAGGCAGACAAAGGATTTTAATTTTGGCAGAGCACACCCACCCCGAATACATCCACCCATCCTTCTCCTTGCACCTCTAAATCTTCTTCCTTGAAACAACTCATTTTTGGACAATTACCTTTTGAGGTCAAGATGTCTCGAGAGGCAGATGTGGAGTGTCAGCAGTCACAAGGTGACGTTTCATCACAGTCCCAGGGCGCAGCCTCCTCACAGCTCCCCGACCCCTCCTTGGAGCCCCTTGTCACCTCGTCGTTGCAGCTTCCTGGTCCTTCCTCGCAGCCCCTTGTCACCTCGTCGCAGCTCCCCAGCCCCTCGTCACAGCTCCAGAGCACATCCGGGTCATCTTCCTGCACGGTCACCACGTCCAGCCAGTCTTCCCACTCCAGCTCCGGGACATTGAGTTCCTTAGACACTGTGTCCACTCAGGAACTTTACTCTATTCCCGAGGACCAAGAGCCAGAAGAGCCCGCCCCTGCCCCTTGGGCTCGATTGTGGGCCCTTCAGGATGGATTCTCCAATCTTGGTAAGCTCTTCTGTTATGTGCACTTCGGTTTTAAGAGCAGAACACTGCTGTAGGAGAAAGCAGAGTGCTGGCCCTAGAGTTTGAAGATGATGGGAGATGACACTGAGGAAACAATGGTTGTGAATCAACATTTTATTTTTTTTAAAGATCATCTTATTGGGGGTTCTTGCAACCCTTATAGCTATCCACACATCAATTGTATCAAGCATATTTGTACATATGTTGCCATCATGATTTTCTAAACATTTACATTCTGTTTTTCCTCCCTCCTCCTCTCGTGACCCCTTGGTAAATTATTATTATTTTCATATCTTACACTGACCTCTGTCTTTCTTCCCCCCTTCACTCCCTACCTTCCCCCTACCCTCCTGGTATTGCTACTTCCATTTCTGTTCTTGAGGGGTTTATCTGACTTGGATTCTGTACCTGTGTACCTGCTCCAGCCTA